AATAAATAAATAAATAAATAAATAAATAAATAAATGTTCTTTAGAAAGATATGCAGCTTATTTTAATGTACGTGAAGTGGAAATTATTTATCTACATAAGGTAAGGGTATTTGGAAACTAAATTTCCATAGATCGCAACAAAGTAGGTTCAAAACTGCCATTTAAGTGGGTTCTTCAAACAGGGTTTTACTGTATTCAAGTCCTAGAAAAACAAACACTTGGAAAGATAAATGAATAGGCTGCAATCATGTCATATGCTTATTTTAGATAATTAAAAAAAATTGTTAACAGAACAATTTAATATTTTCATTGATGCAACTTGAGCTGTCAGGAAAGGAAGTTCTTTCATAAATTAGCATGAGGCAGCATAACAAACCCACTTTATAATAATGTTGTAAATCCATTTATTTAGTAATCTTACAAAATTCTTTGACATCAAATGAGACTACTGTAATGAAATTGCGAAAGGACGGAACTGCAAAACATTTCAAGCACTTTCAATATATGTTCTTTCAATTTCAGCCACTTTTAATTAACTGTAGAAATCAGTCTACGAATGCCAGGAAATAAAAGTGCAATTTCACGGTATGGACACAGAATATCAATCTGCCTCTGATACAAGCTTAAGTATTTGCTAACTCTCAATTCTGGCAAACTAGAGGTTCAGTACAAGGTCATGTATTCAAAGTATTCAAAGAGAGAAAATATCTTTGCCATTAGAAGGGTTAAATACACAACATTACTCACCACTTGGCCAACTGCAACTCGCTCCAAAGCCTTTAAAGAGAAAAGGAAATCTTGCGTTAATGTTCTTATCTAAACATTTTATAAGCAGACTTAATTTGGGAAAAATTACTTATTAACAGATTATGTGATAAAAATAAGACTGTTGCCTGAAAACTGTTGGCATTGCCACATTCTATTTATATATGTCATCTGGAATTTAAAATTATAAACTTCTGCTTCTGCAAACAGCTAAGATGATTCTAGGCTATGAATTCTGAAGTACGTGTTTTTGAGTTTAATGTGCAGTTCATGCAAGTCTCCAGTGAGTATTCTAGTCCATATTTAATAAAGGGCATAACACCAGTAATGTATATTATTAAAATAATAGTCTATAACTGGATACAAATTTGCTTTTATGGAACAGAATCTACTCTGATTTCTCCTTGCTAACATGACCTCAACAGAATAATTAACAAACTATTAGCACGAACAGCAACTTTTTACTAAAGAATCCCAGCTACCCTCTTTATTCTACATTCTCCAAATCCTAAATTCAGATCTTCAGATTTTCAGTCTACACTGTCATACTGTTTTCCTTTCAGTTACGCTCAAAACAAATGAGTTCCAATCCCTTCACCTTCCATTTACTTATTATGAGTCCTTTCTTCTGTGAAATGAAAATTCACAGTTTATATACTTCTCACCCCCCCATTCTACTTTTTATATGCTTCACTCTTATGACATATAACATTTTACTAGCAAATGTTGGAAAGGGATCTCCATTTGAACCTGGGTAGGATTGTAATCCTTTATATCTTGTTTTGTCCCAGTGTGGATTAGGTCTTTGTGCCTGCTATTTGCATCGGAAATAAAACTTTCAACGGTATGAATGAAAGCTTTTGTTCCAATACAAACAACAAGAGGAGGGGACTTGACCTGGACAGTGAGGTGGGTGTTAATATTGTCCATCCCCCATCTCCTGATCTTGATTGGAAAACCTGCACCTAATGATTTGTTCAAAATAAATATTCACACAAATATTAAATGCCTGAATTGTATGTATCACATTTCCCCTGGCCCTAACTTGTATGTTTCTGGGCAGTGACATGGTTTGGAATTTTGTCAGGGTTTTAAATGCAATACTTAATATCAATGTACAATATGAATAGTAAATGCTGCTAAATATCAGTGCCCCTGAAACGTTAAGCTCAAATGTATTTTCTTATATCACTGATCTTATATGCAGTGTCAAAACAGCCACACAAAAAGAAACAGGGCACCATCCATATGAACACTGCCACATTGTCCAAAAACAGTTTCTGTTGTCATGTGGCCAGCGTGACTAGGGAATGCCGTTTTACCTTCCCACCGAAGTGGTACGTAATTATCTACTCGCATTTGCATGCTTTCAAACTGCTAGGTTGGCGAGGAGCTGGGACAAAGCGACAGGAGCTCACATGGATTCGATCTTACTTGGTCTTCTGACCCGATAATACATGCATACTATATACATTTTTGCATTGTGCATAGGAAAAAAACATGCAACATTGCTTTCCTGAATAAATAATAAAATGTGATGTCCTTTTTTTTACACTTATAACTGGCTTCTGTTAAATACATGCATACTGTCTACATTTTTGCATTGTGCACAGGAAAAAACATGCAACATGGCTTTCCTGAATAAATAATAAAATGTGATAAATAACAAGAGCATCAGAAAGAATAATGTGGAGCTACATAAAAGAAGAGAGAAAGGGATATAATATTCCCATTGTCCTGCTGAAAAATGGAGTACCAAGATGTGGAGAAAGCAACATCTGACAACTAACAAGAGCATCAGAAAGAACAATGTGGAGCTACCTAAAAGAGAGAAAGGGATATAATATTCCCATTGTCCTGCTGAAAAATGGAGTACCAAGATGTGGAGAAAGCAACATCTGACAACTGTACATAAGAAAATTATGCAAGCCGAGACAGAAGATGAGCAAGTCAAAGGGGCAAAGACTGAAGTATATAAGAGGATTAGAGAAGGATTAAATAGGCATTTGATTCAAAGGAAAGATGTGGGTTACAAGATTGTGATAGCACTGCAACCAGGAGCAACAGAGCATCTCTAACACTCTGATCTACTTAATTCTTTGCAAATACTGACAGTACATTTTGATTCTGAGAAAATATAACAAAGTACATACATTTGAATCTAATTTGGGAGGGGAGTAAAACATCAACATAAGAGAAAAGTTCTTCAACATCTGAATGAATATCAGGGTTTTTCCATGTCAAAATAAAGTGTTAACAATGATTTAAAGATACTTTATTTAAAAGAGACTATAATCTGATGGGTCATCTGATTTACTCTGCAAGCTTATGAGGTCAATAGCACTGGGCTGCCACAAACTTTCCTTTCTTCAGAAAATTGCCAGGGCTTGTCACATCTGAGTACAATCCAACCAGCTTTTGGTTAACTTTACTTGTGCCAAATACTGTGATGCACGGGTCCCCCAATCCAATCTGGAGGTCCATTCAGGGCTTTAAAATGTATCCTGATTCAGTCCAGATGATATGTAACTCACCAGATTTGATTTATGCCCAGGATCCAGATCAATCCTCGAACAAATTTTCATTGCAAAACTGTGTTATATCTTTATTGTTTTTGCACCAATGTATATGAAAGATGAGGGGGGACGTGGTGGCACTGTGGGCTAAACCGCAGAAGCCTGTGCTGCAGGGTCAGAAGACCAAGCAGTCGTAAGTTCGAATCCACGCAACGGAATGAGCACCCGTCGCCTGTCCCAGCTCCCGCCAACCTAGCGGTTCGAAAGCATGCAAATCCGAGTAGATAAATAGGTACCATCTCGGTGGGAAGGTAAACAGCGTTCCGTGTCTAAATCACACTGGCCATGTGACCACGGAAAGATTGTCTTCGGACAAACGCTGGCTCTATGGCTTGAAGAGCGGGATGAGCACCGCCCCCTAGAGTCGGACATGACTGGACAAAAATTGTCAACGGGAACCTCTACTTTTACCTATATGAAAGATAGAAATATGACAACCCTGCCAAATTTCAGGGAGGGTTCCTGACTTCAGAAGGGTTCCAAACTTCAGAAGTTTGTATATTAAATATATAGGTATGCTTAACATTTGCTTTTTTCAAAATAAGGGGAAAAAAAACACTGAAGCAATTTGTGCTTCATTTGACTATGATCTGTACTCCAGATACAAACAAGTTTGGAAATTTGCTTCATTCCACCCCAGAAACAAATCTGGCTATTCTATTTCAATGTGGACCTTCTACGAAAAGCAGGATGCATCAGTTCATTTTTTTATTCGATCCAGTATATTTCATTAGTTAAAGCAATGACTTAAATCATTATAATTAATCTTGCATGCACTACAATATGGAAGGGAGAAGGAAACTGTACCAGGCAGGCAGCCATTCTGGCATTACGACCACAGAACCAGCCTTCTTCTTTTAAGTACCGGCACATGGGAAAGCCCCATGTTCCCTGAGCATCACCTGCAGGGAAAAGAGAAACAATGCATCACTTTAAAAAAATCTAGATTGGCTATTAAGCATACATTAATGTGTGAAGGCAAGAGGAGAAGGGGACGACAGAGGACAAGATGGATGGACAGTGTCATCGAAGCCACCAACATGAATTTGACCCAACTCCGGGAGGCAGTGGAAGACAGGAGGGCCTGGCGTGCTCTGGTCTATGGGGTCACGAAGAGTCAGACACGACTTTAATGACTAAACAACGCTATTCAGTTTAATTTAGTTGCTTATGTTTTTAAATGGATTGTTATACCTTACCATTTTTTAGCACAGTATTTGTTTGATTCATTTGTATTTGCATACTCACCGTTGAACTGACTCCTGTCCTCTGAAAATGCCGGCCACAGTGACTGGCAAAACGTTAGAAAGAAAAACCTTAAGAACACAGCCAAACAGCCTGGAAAACCCACACAAGCCTATTATAAGGCCCAACTGTGGAAGATCCAGTTTAGGGATTAATACTTACTTCACTTGAGGAGTATCATTGTCAGTCATTTAGCATAATTGCTATTTCTGTTTTTTTGCCCAGAATGGCAACCTACTGGTAAATGATTAAAATAAATGGAACGAGAAGCCTGCAGGTTCTAGGCTCTTCTTGTTTTTGTTACCAACTATGCCAATTCGGACAAATTTCAGTGTGCAGCTAAAAATAATGCCTTGATTATCTACAGTACCTAGTAAATCAAAGCAATAATTTTAGTTTCACCCTGTGAACCCACAGAATGAGATGTCCTTTAGGAAGATGAGCAAAGCTGAGTAAAAGAGGGTTCGTGGCAAATTGATGGAAGAGAGTAATAGAGAAATAATTATGAAAAGGTAATGTTTCAGTATGAGGCAAAAAAAAATCAGCTTCTAAAAGCAACCTATGTCCTTTTAAAATGATTTAAAGTTGAAATTGTTTTCAAAGAGGAAAAAAAGATCCTTTACTACAAGTTAATTACAATGAAAATCAATAGGCTGCCCACAAAGGAAGCAGTGTAGCAAGCTTCAAATGTTTGGTTCAATATCTATTGATGTTTATGTAATCACCATTCACAAAACCTTCCAAAAATAGATTTTTTATCGAATAAAGGAAAACTACAAAACTTGCTCTATCATAGTTCATGAAAACTCATGGTATAACAAATTTGTTAGTTTTCAAGGTGCCACAGGATTAGTCCAGGGGTTCCCAAACTTTTTCAACTTGCAGCCCCCTTGAGCAGCGGCAGCAGCGGTGGAGCAGGAGGAATGGCAAGGGATACAAGGCAGAGCAGGAAGTAAAGGAACATGAAGGAGCTGGAGCTAGAGGAGGAAGACCACCACCAGCAGGGCTGGTTCAGTAAAGAAACAGAGAAAATTCCACCATACTGCTAGTTGGGTTTTGTTGTGCCCTGAACCGCTATAGGGCACCACAGAGGCCACAGTGCAGACTTTGGGAACCTCTGGGCTAGTCTGTTACTCCAGCCTATTGAAGGAAGATTATCAAAACACACACTAATTAATTAAGCATAATCCAAAGTTTTTACAATGCATGTTTGCCTAAAGCAATCTGTACAGATTGAAAATATATGTTTTCTTATTTTGTTGCAGTATTAAGGAGGAAAAAACCGAAAAGGGCTGTACAACTTGACCAGTTATTCAGGAATGTAATCCACACATGCAGCAAAATCACAATGAATCAAACAGCATGAAAAGAACAACCACTTATTTGTACTGTTAACCACAATACAACACAGCAGTAAATAATATTGTTACCTACAATACTGAGCAATAAGCCCCTATACTTCTATAAATAAATAACAAAGAATATTGATTAGTAGCATCTCAAAGCTCTGCAAAAAGTCAACATTAATCACCTTAAATGTGTAAGTTCAAATAAAAGGGGAAAGGATCATTAGTGTAACTAATATTATACTATTTAACAAAAATCACAGGATTTGTAATTAGAAAAAAGACATACACAGAACAAGCAAGCAATATTTTGTACTCTTCAAAAAATCTTTAATCTTTAGACACACTTTCAAGCACTGGAAGCGTCTGTGATTAAAGGATTAGTGAAGATGGGAGCCAATCAGGGCAGGGAAACTATGAAAAGCATATACAGTAAAAATACATTAAGCTTACAACAAACAAGAGTGCACTTTATGTGTATGGGAATCATATGATAAAATCAAGCTTTTCTAAGTAGTGATTTCAACTGCAATTTGATTGGAAAACAATTTGCAACCAAAACCACTCCTCCCCCTTTCATTTTGTTAGAAAGACTTCCTGTATACTGTCTGTATAGAACTATCCTCCCACAAAAATAAAATAAAATAAAATGGATGCATGAGTGTCAATAGTCTTGAAGAAAAAAATGTTCCTTCATTTCATTTTCAACACTAGCCAAACTTTAACTTTATGTCCTCGTTTTTTCTTTATTTTAAAGTTCCATTGTGGCATAAGGGTGTGCAATTTTTATTCACACACAAAACATGAAAATTGGAAAGAAAAGAAGCAATCAAAAGTATACCCAGGATTCATTTTTAACCTCTTCTGGGAAGCAATGCCGCAAGGAAAAATATAAAATTTGTGCCAAATCTGTCAAAAATACATAACTGGCTGAGGATCTGATACAGCTGTCAGTGTAAATTACTCGGGGTCTGCCAAACACATCAAAAAGCTCTGCATTAATCATACATTTATTAGTTGGAGTTGCTTATGGCTGCAGACCAAAGATAAATAGTCAAGCATGACTTGATACAGATCCTATATCTCATAAGCAGCTAAATTCACAAACCACCAACAGCTTATCAGCTATTTAATTATAAGGATTACTATCTGGGAGGTAGCAGCCAAAAACTGTGTCCAAGCTAGACTTGCTGATAGCACTTTAGTGACTAAGCTAAGCTAAGCTTTAAAAAGTAAGGCCTCAATAGATGGAACCGAAGTAATCACCCTTTCTCTTTTTTGGCTATTTTTTACAGATAAACTCTATGTTAGTTTGTAAGTTGACAACAAAGAGTTTCATTGTTGAGTTTACAAGTGCTGATTATCATTAGCACAACAAAAATATTAACCAGCAAATGTTTAAAAGCAAGACACAACTTTTTGTGACAAATGTGTGAATCTAAAACAGAACTAGGCATACTTAAGTTCAATTAAATCTTTTAATTTAAGCATTAGCTGGATCTAAATTACAGCCACAGCATAACATCTTAGCTACTTCTTATTACGCAGAACTGGGCCAATGCAGAAAAACAAATATTGTAGACCATCATATAAAATACAACAAAAGCCTTAACCTGAAAGCCAAATATTTGATTTACTTTTTTTTAAAATGCGAAGAATAAATTATTTTAGAAGTAAACATTTTTTAAAAATGAAAACAGATTCCGAAAGTTCACCTAGAATACAAAATATTTTAGGTGAAAAAGACAAATTAAATGGCTAGTGTCCTGCTGGGCTCCTGCTAACACAGAATTATACCATTTATGCAAGTACTGCCATCGCACAAGCAGATTTTCTTCATGGAAATCACCACATGCACAAAGACAACAGTTACACAAAAAGCAGAATTCTGTATTACAATACCAGCAGGGAATTTTGCTCAGAGGACATTCAACAGAATCGTGCTTCTTGTGTAAGTGGCCAGTACGTCATATATCAAGCCTAAATATCTTGGTGCTGTTCAGAAATACTGTTGAATTCTTTTTCTCAGAGTCGTAGATCACTGCCCAGAGAAGGCTTTTCTGTTCTTATGCTGGAACTCAGTCACATCTGGTATATGATACTCCTCACCTCTGACAAAAGTGATATCTTCAGAGACAGAGCAGAGCAACATGAATAGCAAACCGTGCTTTGTGAACTTTCCCCATATGGTCCAGTCTCCTAAACACACCCTTATCCTCTTTGCTGACCACTAGGCTATGGCATTATCATTAAACAGAGAAGAAATATTATGGTATAAGGAGGGAAGGGTAAATTGTCATATAGTATTACTTCTTTACTTTACTTTTATTGCTTCTTTCTTTCAAAAAGGGATCCAAAGTGACTTAAAAGTAACTAAAAACAAAAAACTCAAATCACAATAAATTATAACATTAAAATACCATTATTTGCAGCATTAAAATGCACACTAATAGTAAAGGCCAGTCATTAAAAACCACTGAAAAACTAGCTAAAAACACAACAAACCCACTAAAGTACAGTGGTGCCTCGCTTTACGAGCGCTCCGTTTGATGAAGAAATCACATTACGTTGAAGATTTTGCAATCACAAAAGCGATCGCAAAATGATGTTCCCTATGGGGGAATTTCGCTTTGCGATGATCGGTTCCATTTCGGTAACCGATCATCGCAATACGACAATTTTCAGCCAGCTGATCGGCGGTTTCAAAATGGCCACCGAGTGAAAAACATGGCCACCCCGTTTTCTGGCACAGATTCCTCGCTGCACGGGCAGAGAAAATGGCCGCGCTATGGAGAATCTTCGCTGGACGGTGAGTTTTAAGCCCATAGGAACGCATTAATTGGGTTTTAAGGCGTTTCTATGGGCTTTTTAAAATCGCATGACGTTTTCGTTCGACAGCGATTTTTGCGGAACGAATTAACGTCGTCATGCGAGGCACCACTGTATACCACAGCCTTTCTGTTCAAACTCATTTCTCAGATGGACATTCCATTTCAAAAGGCCTGCTTAAAAAGAAATATCTTTGCCTGCAAGAGGGACAACAAAGAGGGAACCAATCTAGTGTCTGTCTTAGAGCAGCCAGTTAAAGTGTCTATTACTTTAGTTGTGAAGCACATGATTAGCAATATCATATATGAAATGTTTAAGAATTCCCATCTGGAGCCAATGATTTGTTTATTTTTAATATTTTAATAAGATCTAGGATTTTATGACCATGGAGTAAATGAGAGAGCATACAAGCAAAATATAGTTCCACCTGACCACCAAAGCATACAGAAGAATCTGGATTTGCCTCTGTACCCTTTTAAGGCAAATTCTGGCTTTCATTTACAGTATTTATGAAAGAACATTTGCTTTGCTCTGCACTTCAAAAAAGGAAAAGAGACTTAGATTAAACCCAGCATTTCTTTATACTGTTTCTTCAACAAAAATGTTCTATATTTTGAACTGGACACTTAGTAGGGGAGACTGTCAGAGAACCACAAGCCTGTCAGTGAAATTCAATAAGATAATGGTTTTTAAATGTTTCAACATTCATGTTGGTTAGAAACATCTGTTACGTCCTTTACAGCCATGTGTCAGAGATCTCACAAATTGAGTCAAACACTGCAAACATGTTCCCCTCCCCTGGTAATACAGCAATATTTTGAGATGGTATGGAAATGAAATCAAGTGCTTTGATCTTTAGCTTGGAGTATTTCATAAGCTACCATGGTATCAAAGGCATTTGTTTTTACCCTGTTTCCCCGAAAATAAGACCTAACCTGAAAATAAGCCCTAGTATGATTTTTCAGGATGCTCATAATATAAGCCCTACCCCAAAAATAAGCCCTAGTTAAGTGAAACCCCACCCTGCACCATTGTGCAGCAACCAGAAGAAGATGAAATGACTATATTTAAATAAATGTAGATTGT